ATAGCGCATACGCTCTAGCGGAGCCTTTGTCCGTTGTCCGAGATACATATTTGTGCAGTCAGTTTACTCGCAACTAAATCGTTGCACACGCACGTACACGCGCGCGCGCAAACACACGCACGCGCGCACGCGAACGACGATGACAGAGAATCTACGGCGCTCGCGTCTGCACTTACTGCGGCGGTGAGATGCCTGACGTAATGGAAGAGAAAGTGTCACCGAAAAAGAAGGCGGCCGTCGTGCAGCGTCTGCGACAGAAATTCGAGCTGTACCGCCGTCACCACCAACAATGTTCGCCCAAGTTCGAACGGACGTTGAACGGGGTGTTCGAGCAGCAGAGACAGGAGACGGCCGTCCTGCACAGACGCTGGATGGAGTCGACGAAAGCGAAGAAAGCCGGCAAGAATAAGCAGGAGAATCGTGCCCAACAGAAGACGTCCTCCTCCTCTTCCGCCGCCGCTTCCTCCGTCGCCGCCTCTGCCGCCGCGCCTTCGTTCGGACTCCCCGCCTCCGCCGACGCCATGTCGGTCGATCCGCCGGTGAACAAGGGAGTGAAACGCAAGATGGACGACCAGCAGCAGCACGACGGTGGCGGTGGCGCCCTCTCGCGACACGACGACTCCGTCGTCGGCGACATCAAGTACATGCCGCTCGATCTTCCCGTCGACATCCCCCTGAACTCCTTCTCCCGGGAAGTGGCGCCGGCGTCCGGCGCAAAACTGGCGTGCGGGAACGGCGTGGACGCCGTGGGGGCACCACCGTCTGCCCCCGTCGTCGACTGCAAGAGGGAGCCACCGGGCAGCGACGACGGGTTGGACGCGGACTGCCCGACGGACGCGTTCCATGGCTTTGGCCTCGACATCCACCCGGACATGCTGCAGGACATCCTCAGCTCGCTCAGTCCTGACATGATGGACCACCTCGACCAGTTCCAGGACGCCGGCGACGACGACGACGACGCACGGTTGCCGGGGGCGACGGGCGACGACGTCGAGCTGCACGCAGACGCCGAGAAGCTGCTGAGTTCGATCATCGCCAAGCCGGCTCCTTCCGTTGCTCCCGGCAACCGCGCAACGGCGGCGGCGATGCCGACGTCGTCGCAGGGTGGCGCCCCCTACATGCAGGCGGCGCCGGCGATCGTTTCTCCGAACCCGGCGGCGCAGACGCTGAAACAGATGGCGGAGCAGCACCAGCGGAACAGCGGGGGCGACGGTGGCGCCGTCGCGATGGGCAAGGAGATGGGGATGCAGCAGTGCACGCTCCCCGTTAAGTTTCCGTACAACAACACTGCCGCCGCTCGCTCGGAATTCGCTATGATGGCGAAACATCCGACCGCCGTTGGCGGCGGCGGTGGCGCCCCCTACGTCGGGCAGTACGTCGGGCAGCAGGCGGCGCCGGCGGGGTTTCCGCAGCAGATGGTGAAACAGGAGCAGGGCTGCGGAGGCGGGGCGATGCGCGTGACCGTTGCCGCGCGCGGAGCGACGGATGCTGCCGCGCTCGCGATGATGCACCCATCGTCGCGGCAATCGTTCGCCTACCACGGCACGAAGCCTCTGAGCCACTGCGACCTTCCCGGTCAGCAGGGGGCGCTGTCGACGCACCGGTTTGGCGCGGAGGCAGTCCGTTCCGCTCCGCAGACGCACCAGCACCTGCAGATCTCACAGGGGACTATCCGGATATCCCACCCACCGACCCAGCAGCAGCAGCAGCAGCTGCAGCAGCAGGCGAACATTCCGAGGATAGGTCACCCCGGCGCCATGTCGTATCCGCCGACAGCCGCCGCCGCTGCCGCCATGTGCCTGCCCGCCGCTGCTGCCGCCCCGCGCCACCCCCAGATGGCACTACACTCGGCTCAGCGATTCGCGATGCGGCAGCAGTTGCCACAGGAGCAGATGCTTGCCCAGCAGGTGGCACTGCCACAATACCACGAGCATGCGCCGCGCGTTGTCGTATCCTACCACCAGGAGGCGGGCGCGATGGGTCTGCAGATGCAGCAGATGCAGGAGTTTCGCTCGCAGGCGATGGCGGCGGCGAGCGCGGCGCCTTCTGGCATGCAGCTGCAGCAGCAGGCGCGCATGGTGCCGCTGCCCCCTGGCGGTGGCCGCATCCCGAGCACTAGCACCCTCCAGCAGCAGCTGTCGGAGGCGCAGCGGCCCCAGCTGCACCTCTCGTCTTCTCCGCAGCTTGGCTTTCCAAACCACGTGATTCTGCAGCAGCAGCAGCACGCGGCGGTACGGCAGCAGAGTGCGGCGTCGGCACGGCAACCGTGTCCTATGCAGCCGCATCCGCAGCAGCAGCAGCTAGGTGGGGCCCAGGTGATGACCTCTCAGCAGCAGCAGCAGCAGTGGATGTGGCCGCAGGCCAGCGTCCAGCGACAGAAACTCGTGTCTCCGCATCCCGGCACGCAGCCGCCGCCGCAGCAGCAGCAGCAGCAGCATCTTGCTGGTAGGGTGCCGTCTCCAGCGCAGACGATGAAGCAGCAGCAGCAGACGCCTCCGCTACATCACCAGTCGCGCATGCTGGGCCAACAGCAGCCGCTGCCTGTCGCCATGAACTTCCACATGCAGCAGCAACTGCAGCAGCAGCAGCAGCAGCAGCAGCAACAACAACAACAACAACAACAACAACAGCAGCAGCAGCAGCAGCAACACCGGCAGGTCCAGCAGCAGCAGCAGCAGCAGCAGCAACACCAGCAGCACCAGCAACAGCAGCAGCTTCAGCAACAACAGGAATACATTTCACTGGATTTTCTAGATGGGGCCAATCTATTCGATGCACCAGCAACCAATTTCAACATGTTGGATGACATGGATTTATGATATGTTGACGCAACTGCCAAACACGAATATCAAGAATACTTCCTACTATCGCATATTCGACTACGAATGTACATTTTTGAGGTTCTTTTTTTATATTTTTGTATAGAAATCGATTGACTGATGGAAAGGTTGTGGAAGCCTGAAAGCATTAGAGTTTTTATACACGATGTTTAGCGCGTTTGCGATACAGGCACCTGTATGTATTTAAAAACTTGTGGATGCAGATTTAAAGGACAAGTGCCAAGGACTTTTTGACATGACGGTTGTAAGTCATTGTGCATTAATGTACAGAAAAACATGCAAGATAACTCAAGGATTTTAGATCTGATATTGATACATTTTTTTAGAAATCTTTCTCTATGTGTAAATATATATACTGTGTGTAGGCTGTATATAGGTCTAAAAGACGTCATGAACTTCTTTAAAATAAATCTATACTTTTAGGTATATGTACATAGTTTAGTTGTCAGTAGTATAAAATGTCAAATTTTATGAAATATCTGTGCTGCCATTATGTGAATGCAGGGAGATTCCAGATTCATGTTTGTAGATATAGTCACTTATATGCAAATTCTCTCTTTCTGTATACATCAAATCATGTGAGAATTAAATCATGTATGAAAAATTTGTACATTTTTCACTCCAAAATAGCATTGTACATAAAATTTCATGTGTATATGTAATTATATAACATTTCTATCCTTTTAGCAATGCATTATACATTGATTATACTCACTTTCAAAATAAAAATGGTATTATATATCTGATGATAATACTGGCTCTTTTTGTTTTCACATTTGCCTGAACGCGTACGTACATGTATCTGCAGAGTATTAGCCGGAATATTAGTTATGGTCTTTTAGTTAGGTGGCTTTACCTGTCACCAACGTTATGGATCAGACAGAAGTGGAAAATAAATTGAAATCAGTCTGCCAGTGCAAGTGGTGAAGTTCCACGTTAGGTAAGGTAAAGTAGGAAGGGAATGAAAGGAAGTTGTGGATTAGGAACGTGGGAGGGAAATGAAAGGCTGTCCTTGTTTCTCTTTTTCTCCATCTATCTCCATCGCTACTGCATTTTTAACCTACACGACTTTTAGATAAAGGTCTTTGAGTAATTTAGAACAATTTACCGTGCATTTTTATTCTAAACTTTGCACATTGAATAAAAAATTTCATAGAAGGATTGTTTTTACTTTTGCGTTATGGATACCAAATACTATCACTATCCGTTAGATGCCACTACAGTCGCGCCGTGATGGCAACCCCAGTGTTTTCGTTTATATGCTGCTCTACGAAACAGGTACATTATACATAACATAACAAATACCAATGCATATTTAATATTGTTGTCATGCATTCGTCAAGTATTAAAATAGGATTCGATTGTTTTGGTTTTAGAACCATTACTAAACCCGGAATGCAGGCAATATCAAGTCAAGTATACCCACAGTTTGGCTGAGAGGGTCTATGTCCCCCGGGGTACTGCCGGAACGTACCCTGG